GCTCTATATATTTTTATATCATTCTCACCGTTGGTTAATACCGCGACAGCGTGCACCACTTTTTTTTTCACCGTGCCTGTTTTTTAAAGCCATTCCCGTCCTCTCTCCTTTTCTTTGATCGACAATTTCGCGAACGTGTACGCGGAAAAAAAGGAAGAAGGAAAAAGGAAAAAAGGAAAGAAAAATTACGAAGCCAAAGGAGCGTTGATAAATTAAAATTCTGCCCTCTTTCAATATANTAATGGTCGATTCAGACAACACGCAAGCGTTCAAAGCAATGCGAATCGTCGAAATAGCTATTTGTACGCCAATTGAAAGAGTGAATTTCGCTATGCCCGGTATTCGTTAAATTACGATATCGAAAAATATGCGGTACATGAAATCGGCTATTTCACAAGGGTCTGAATCAGGCTCGCATTATTCGATATTACGGGAATTGCGAGATATTCGATAGGATGGAACGAAATGTATAGGCGAAATTCTTTCATTATGCTATTCATGGAGTTTTGGTAACGAGGAAAAATTCCCTTCTACGATACAATAATATTTGAATTTTATATCGAATTTGAAAAATAAAAATTTGAAAATATTTTTTTTTTTCAAGACGAATCATTTAGAGACAATTATTGTTACGTTTCGTTTGATTGGTTAAAATTTGTTTCTTCAATAATAATTAGAATTGATTAGATCAGTGTGTAGAATATTATGTATATATGTGTGTATATAAGTCCTTACCGAAGCGAAATGCTATTTCCTGTTTGGGCGCTTGCGAGTGATTTACGAGGGGAGCGTAGTACGTTCGACTCATCGATTCAGGTTTTGCACATATTACATAGCACACTGTGTACGTACCAACGTTGTAAAATTTATACGTAATCTAAAAAAGATTTGGTTAAAAAAGATTGCTTTAAATTTCAAAGCTGCCGCTAAATAAGACATCAAATAAATCTCCAAGTAATTTTTATTCCAAGACTTCCTCTATAATTTCTTCTACAATTTCGCATTCACCGTTCCTTTCATTTACAAATATCTCCTCACATGAATGCCTCGGATTTCCGCGTCTCAAAGCGGACGGAAATCATCTCTAACAAACCACACGCGTGCACTGACGCGATGACACTGTTAAAAAATACCTTAAATTTCCCTCCGAACAAAGGGGGTCTAATGAAAAAACATCGGAGTGTCCTTTTTAACGGGTCTTCCATCCAGCTCGAGGCTCAATTTTAACACGGTTTGGTCGTATTACTTGCCAACAATCGCGGGTCGTTTGCGGGATAATTTAGTCGCGTGTTGCGTGTGGTGGAACGTTCCAAAAAAGAGAGAGAGAAAAAAAAGAGAATAAGAAGAAAAACGAGCACAAAAGAGTAAATGTAAATTCGTTTTTTAACGAGATATTTCCATAGGTGCGCGGCCTGCGAGAAGATTGCACTCTGTTGGCGAGACGGGGAAACGAACTAGTCGAACTAGTCGAGACTGAGATTCCTCCCTGTTAAAACGACGTTAATCCCTTTTATAATAATATCCGCGTAGATTGAAGGACAACTTAATTAGCCGAGATCGTTAGAACCCCCGTGAAAGGCCACGACGATGTTCCCCACTGGACTAGAATTCGCCGATTATGTGGAGAATAACCTTCGTTCCTATTATAGATTCATTTTCAGGTTAGAAATAAGCGTTACGATCAGTTTCGTGCGGGATTCACGTGCTCACATTATTTCTTTTACCGAAAATGACAGTAAAAATAAAAAGAGATAAGTATTTTAATATAATTCTAATGATTAGTGCTTTTAATAAAACTTTTTGTTGGAATATAAGAAAGCGAAATAGAGAATTCGAAAATATCGAATTGACTCGAGAATTTCGACTTTCTCGTGAAGATTAGGATTATTTTTTTAATTTTTTGGACAAAATTATTCAGTTCTTTAAAATTTTGAAAAATTCTGATTTTATTTTAATACAAGCATCTCGAAAAACGACGTTTTCGAACTATGAGATACTTTCAAGATCCGACTCGATACGATTAGACCCGATCTTTTCCGATCTATTCCGAGCGTTCCCGATATTTTCGGGTTCTCGCACACTTCTAAAGCGAAACAACAATTAATCTGCCCGGAGGATAAAATAATAATATACAAGAATATCTCTCGGGCATTGTAAACTTAGTTTAATGTAAACTTAACGTAACGAACATAACCTTAACCTAACTCAAATCCAAATGTCTAACCTTTGAAAAATAACACAGAAGTAAAATTGAATTTACATCTAACTAAAAAATAATTGAATATGTGTTTACATGTTACATGTTAGAATTGTGTTTACAGTGTTACAAAATAGAATTTTCTGTGCAACGAAGAAACATTTGTGCAACGAGCAGATTGAATTAATTTTTTAATTTCAACGAGACTTTCAGACGGTAAGAGAAATGATAAACGAGGAATCTCTTACAAATTAGATTAAGATAAAACGTCGTTAAATGGGGAGTTTCTTGCATAATTTCACTGAGCAGAACACATGGCAACATTTCACGAATTGAATCCGGACGAGGCGTGTACTTCCATATGCAACCGTATAGCCTTTGAATACGATCGGACTGGACGATAAACTGGCGAGAAATTAGCTGTATAAATCACACGCGGAATACTATAATGACAAAATCTAATGTACAGGCGCCGTTGGGAGATCGGAGTTCAACTAATTTTCAGAAACTCTAAGGATACAATCGTGCAAAATTAGATGCAATCCCCGGGAGAACGGACGAAAATCCACCAAGTAACCAAATATCCTGAATCGAAATGGTTCTCTTTGACATACATATGTAATATGTAACGTAATATCATATACAAGAGATAGAGTAGTAGTTGGTTAGTAAGTTGGTTAAATTGATTGCTTTCATTTATTTTTGTACTAAATATAAATATTTTAAATTCTAATTCTAATTAATCATGCATGATATATGAATATTACAGATAATTTTAATATCAAAGAGTAAACAGTGTAAGAAAGAAAAAAAATTAAAATTTTTGACTAATTGTGGGATACTACAAGCTCGAATAAAAATTTAATATGCTGCGCGGATACAGTAACGAGTATCTGGTTATGGATATTATACATTCTTAATTTATTTAACTTATTCTCTCGACGAACGAGATATTCTTTTTTTCTTCATTTGCAGAAACTTCATTTCAATTACACTGGAAGCTGTGTTCAGGAAGTTTAATATGCAATTATCGTTCTGGAATAAATGAAAGAGCAGTGTCAATCGAGGAAAACACGAAGGTTAAAAACAATTGACTAACGACATAAAGGAATACGTAATAAGAGCATACGAGTCAAAGGTAAATGTTCGCGTTAATAGGCAATTACCAAGCAGTTTCCGCGTGGAACACGTTCCTCTCGATGAAAGCCTTACGCTTGCCGACCGTATAATCGAAAATTAGGGTGCAGTTAGCAAGTGCTTAAGCAACAACTGTTTATTGATATAGTTAATGAATTTCCGCGCAAACTTGTTGTGTCTCGATAAATATCATTGCACGACTCGTCGAAAATAAATTTTGCTCGAACGTAGGAGTCGGTTCGTGAAATACAAAATGGGAAAATATTATTGAAATAATTATTTCTCCACTTGTTCGTTCATAGACCACTTGTATAATAAAATATAACGATCAATTGATGTATGAATCATTTTGAAAAATTCTAAATTTAAATTATTATTTTAAAAGCTATGTAATTAAACCTCGTTATTAAAATTAAGTTTTTTTAATGTTAAATAAATAATGGAATAATTTGTAAGAGAAGAAATTTTGTATTAACAGTTGAAGATTAATTAATAACAGAGTGATGACAAAGTTGTATATTTATTAGAATAATTCTGCTGGTAAAATATTGACAGATGGTCCAGTCTCCATTATATTACGTCGACGTTAATAATTAATTAGATCGTAATAGGAAAGGAAAGGGACGGTCAATTACCTATTACCTCTAACTATTTACGAAGAATTTTTGCTGCTCAAGTGAATCGTTCCCTGTACAATTTCATTTTCCTTGTCACGAAAATTAATTTGATATAGAAAAAATTACAGCGTTTATCAATAATTTCGATTCCAAAAATTTCTATAAAATTTCGATTTTCAAACAAAAAAAATCCTTTTATTTAACCTTTCATTTATAATTATTTTCTTACGTATTTTTCATCATATGACAAATTTCTCGATGCTAAAATCTACATTTTTTTCACAGTTATTCTCTGTAATTAAAAAAAGTTGTTAATTTAATAATCACAATTAAAAAATTGTCCATCTGTAAGCGTATTATATTAAGAATTGTGCGTATTACGATCCATCCAATGCAGACAGGAAGCGTTGGATCCATGTGCTTTAAAGACACAGTGCTTTGGTGAAAGTGGGATCAAAATTGATCCGCTATGCATTATCGTTATTACATTAAGTGGGTCGGAGTATAACCCGCTAAGCTTCAAAGGCTTATGCCGAGAATTGAGTAAAGGTCGGTTATTTATAGGCCTATGGTGGACACTAAAATCCGAAATTTCGAGGAAGGCACGAAATGATTCATCACTACGTCACTAAAAATCTTTAACTTTGTGCATCGAACTTATAAAAGTGATTTTATAGTTTAGATTTATATATAGATTTTATAGATATTTATCCAATAGATTATTATAATTAATAAATTATTACATCTCTTTTATATAGAGATGGATTGTAATTTAATTCATGAAACTCGAATCGAAAACTTTGCGAGATATATTTTCCAAACTCTTTTGGAAACCTTCGAAAACTCGGAATGTTTATTTTCCTCTGTTTTTATCTTTTCCTTGCAATTCTTTTCTTTTTTTGTTACTCAAAATTATTCGTAAAACTTTTCAAAACTTTTTCTCCTTTCTCTTTTTCTTCAAATTCCTGCTTATTTAAATTAACTCATTCCCAATAACCCCCCTCCCTCCCGTTTAATATAAAGTATCAGCGCGCAGAACAGCGTACATTAATTAATGCGCGGCCGTGGAAGATTAATAAAAGGTGAACGAGAAATGATTACACGTTTGACGGATCATTAATGAAAATCTATTCGACCAGCGCGTCCCGCAGCATAGACGAAGACGTAACCGAGCCGTATAATTAGCGGTAAGTAAGGCGTTATTAGTAATTAATTTGCACGCCACGCGGAATCAAGATCTGCAATCTTCATAATTCAAAGTTTTACGCGAGATTCGGTGGGACTGCGTGATCCCGCCCCCTTCATTTATCTCGAAAATCCCTTCCTCGCTCGCCCTTTAAATTATTATGGAGGACGATTAAGAGTCGAATAAAAATTAATAAACTTTAAAATTTAAGAGTCGAAGATTAATTAATCGAGGCATGTATAATGCATGCCTCGTCAAATTAGTTGAAGGGTATGGGAACGTGATTCTTCTTCGCTCCCTTTGTGTCTTGATTTTTTCTTTTTTATTTTTTTTTTTTTTTT